TACGTAACATTTGAGGACAAAAGAAAGACCTGCAATAGGAAGATTTAGATCTTATACATTATGCATCTTTAAATGACCATTTAATTTCATTTTAAGAAATGGTAGTCATGTGATTACATCTGTCAGTCTGTAGGAACCACACATTAACTGGATGTGAAGAATTATAGGTGGCCTGGTTTTTGACTATACAAATATCCTGTTTATAATGGACTGACATTCCAATGGTCACTATGATTACATCTGTCCATCTGTCCGAACCACACATCATTAATTGGTTGTGAGATATTAGCCACTGGTTTATCTATAAACATATGTTATATAAGGTTAAAGGTCGTGGTATAAAGATGTATTATATTATCTATATAGAAAGATAAGTGTTAACTTCCGTTATTTGATTTATTTAACCACTCTTCATATCTTATTTGAATATTTTTCTCTGTGCTTATATTAATTAGGTAAGTTATTTTAATGTATTAAAAACTTGAAGGATCATTTAAACAAATAAACTATACGGTCATTCCATGTCAATTGGGTCAATTTTCAGAAAGTTGGGACATCTACCCCCTCCAAAAAATCTGGTCTGTAGCTTAAAAAATTGACTGAGATATGGGCATTTGAATTTTATGACTTACCGATAAGTTTTCAAAACAAAATATGTATCAATAATTTACTCCAGTTATCTCGTTTTTATCTTTCTAGTGAAGATATAGGCTCAAATTTGGTAGTCTTAGACAACTTTTTGTGTAGATTACAAATCTGCAATCAGATTACACGTGAGTGGTAGCCTTCACATGCTACTTGGCCATGAAAACCATAATTTGACTTTGAATTTGACCTTGTAGAACATGTGACCTTGAGATGAACTTTCATGAAAAATTTATCCCAACATGTTTTCTACACAATGTCAAATAATTGGAGGTATAATATCTTTTATGAACATGTAAAATGAAGATAAATCTTCACACTTAAGGCTGAAAATCAGTGTCTTTGCACTTAAAGCAGGATTATGTTCATGGATAAGCTCTGAGGATACATAGTAACCTGCTGCAGACTTCCCTAAAGATAGATAGATATGACTCAAACAGCAAGTCATCATCTTTTCCATTACAGAAATACATATTCCAGCAATTTTGGCCTATCGGTTACTGGATTATGGTCATTTGAATAACGATGGACATGTCCATTTTGACCGAAATCCCCCAAATTAGTTGGACTGTATCTCAGGAACCGTCTGTCGGATCAAGCTAAAATTTGGAATATCAGCGTTTTCAGCACTAATAACTATATAAACCAAATTTCAGCAAAATCCAAGGCAGAACGGTTTAACTCATTGGTTGATAATTGACATGAAGTGACCCAAAAAAAGATATTCATATGGTATGGGACAAGAATGGTTTTAACATATGTTAGAGACATTAGTACAAACTATAATTCCACCAAGTTACAGAATTTTAGGTGCTCATCTACCAGGTTCAATCGGCTCGAAAGTACGAAAATGGACATGAAATGACCTGAAACACAGATTTTGAAAAAATCGAAAAAATATCTGGTTTTAACATCTGTTAAAGACAATTTTTGAAAATTTGTGTCTGAAACCATATTCGAGGCCAACTTTTTGGGAATCTAGTGAAGACTGATGTGTTTCTTCCATAGTACTACCAGCAATCTCTGGATAGGCCAAAATTTGGGTCTATATCTATTACTTTGTAGCTCCTTTAGCAGTACGAAATCCAAGAAATTCAAGGATAAATAAAATTGTGTCAGGTATCTTTCATCCGTCGACTGTCCCAAAAGAAATACACCATTGTTTTTTGAATGCATTAGACTACCTCGTTGACCAGCCCTAGCTACACAACTACCCCAGTTGGTTATTTACTGCCCACTCTTCCTAGAACACCAGATACCACTTATGATTGATCTGGGAAGTTCGCTTAACTACATGTATTGTATATTGCACACTGGTTACATTGTTTCTAGAGAAAACACATCTTTCTACTTGTAACAAGTGGGTAGTTTATTTTATAACAAGATGTTCATCATTATAAAACTTCTACATCTGTATCATATTATTATTCTTTTAAAGGAGCTGTACCTTGTTGATTTATGATTAAAGTGATTATTTGAATTGGGTTGATGCCTCAGTTTGTATTTCTAAAAATGTACTTTAATCTTTTAAAGGAGCTGTATCTCATTGATTTAGAACAGAATAAAATGTTTACTTCGGTTGCTTTGATGCCTTTTAATGAATTTGTAAACTTTTAGAACATGAATGTCAGATAATTATGATTGGATGGGTTATTTTAATTTGTGATAGTCAAGCTTGGTTAATTTATGATATTGATCTTTAACAACATGTACTAAGGGGGTTGGATGTCGGTGGCTGAATCTGATGGGCAGTTGAGTTAGGTTATGGTGTTGATCTTTAACTACTAAGGGGGGGGGGGGGTATGTTGATCTTTAATTACATGTGTGGGGATGGGGGGGGGGGGGGATATACGAATCTGATCAATGTAAAATATGTTGTTGATTAAACCATGACAAATGACGAGTTTAAAATCATCATTACATTACAAATATTAAATCAATATAAAAATTTACAATGCATCATGTATAACTTAACACCATCTAGAGCACATAAAAATTCCTTAGCAGTTGAAATCTCCTCCAAATATTTGTTTTGAAAAGACCAAGTAGATGTAAGATGATTCTATATCATTTACTAATTTTGATTTTGTTTCTTCCATAATTTTTAGATTGTTTTATATTTTCATCATTTACTTAACATTCTTTCATCATTTACTTAACATTCTTCGTTAATTTCCAATTTTCTAGATTGCCACTTGAAGTTTTCACACAAATTAAATGGATCAGGTCCTTTAGAAGTATTTGTAATTACATGTAGTTGGAATTTGCCTAGAGCTTGTATACATGTAGCATTAGATAGACAAAGACATCTCTTCTGGTTGACTAGCCAAATACTGGCACCATGACTCAGCAAAATATGACTCACTTCCTGTGTAAACAATATACTCTTTTAAATTCTCTAAATATTTCAACAATGCTTGGAATTAAGATGGATTACAGAAGGAGATTAATATGGCTATATTTGTTTCACTAAGGAATAGAGTAAGTGTTGTATTGAAGAGAATCTTTAGGTCGTTTTGTGACTAGAACGTGGTCATTTTGTCTTCAGTTCGAGTGAGAATTTTATCTGGTCAACTCTCAGGTCATTTTGAGACTGATATGTAAAATTTATTTTCTGACAAAAGTTGCGTGTGCAGTGCTAGTTAAAGAGAATTTCACCAAGGTAGCAGCATGTATGCCTTTAGAAATAGAAGTCTAGATAATTGGAATGGAAACTACTTGAACCACTGAGTTTCAAAGCTAATTGTGCAATATACATGTATTCTTGTTATCTTGTAGCATGTTATAAGTTCTTAGAGTAAGAGGGGGGGGGGGAATGGGTGGCCGAAGGGTTAGCACATGCGCTCTACATCAAAAGGTCTGTCAACAGGTGTGGTTTCGATTCCCCGGTTGTACAGGACAAGGAGTAGGGTCACTTGTCCAACCTTGTGGGTTTTCTCTGGGTCCTCCGGTTTCCTCCCACTGCTAAAGACCCCTCTGCGTAAATCAGTGTAAATGAAATGAAATGGGGTGATAGAACATTCTACCTTTCTGCTCCATCTGGTCTTATGAAGATGAGCAAGTACATGTAGTATGCAATGAGGGAACGTTTTACCTGGAGAGTGTCAGTTCCGCCTTCTCTCCTTCTAATTGAGGTAGAATATTTAAATTTGGTGTAGGTGTTTATTAGGTGAATACCTTGATGGAGTTCAAAGATGAGCATTTCTGCTTATGGTTAGCAGAAATGAGCGATTTGATTGGTTGATGCTTTGGGACACAGCAATAACTCTCTTTCAAATTGAGATAGATGTTCAAACTTGGTGTAGATGTCTGTTATGTGAATGCCTTGACAAAGTTTAATCATGAGCATTTTCCACTAAGCCTGTAAGCAGAGATAAGCAATTTGATTGGTTTAGACTTTGGAATGTGATTACTTTGTTTGGGTGAAAGCGATGAAACTCTTAGTATAAACTGACTAAGTTTGATAAGAATTTTCTGCTTAGGCTAAGTAGTTATAAGCAGTTTGATTGGTCAAGACTTTGGAACACAATAACTCTCCTTCTAATTGAGGTAGAATGTTTAAACTTGATGTAGATGTTCATTGGGTGAATGTCTTGACTGAGTTCAATGATTAACATTTTCCACTAAAGCTAAGCCGAGCTAAGCAATTTCATTTGTCGATGTTTTGGACAAGATACATGTAACTTTGATTCTAACTGATGGAGAGTGGTGAAACTTGGTACATACGTCATGTAGTTTCACAACCCGGTACTTCGAAATCTTGACTGAGTTTGATTGTTAACATTTTCTGCTTAGACTAAGAATAGATAATCAGTTTGATTGCTCGATACTTTTGGAAAAGATAAATGTGCAATTAATTAAAATGTGTCATCTATTTATTTTGGGATTTCGGCAGGGGACATCAGCCTAACTGTTGGCTTCTTTTAAAAATAAACATGACATTTCCTCATATCAGGTTCAATATAAAAGTGTTAAACGGTCTTTTTCTAAAAATAAATCTTTAATAGGATATTACCCGGTATTGGTGTAATAGAAATTGTTAAATGCTGCTTGATTGATCAGATGCTGAACAGGATATTTCCTTATAATTAGGTTCAGATTAGAATTTTAGATGATGCTTTATGCTGTATTTCCTCATTAACATGTTTAATTTCAGAATTTTTCAGAATTTTAATTGTTTTTTTCCTCATATCAGGTTCTATGTATAAATGTTAAATGTTGTTTGATTGGTCAGATGCATTCTGCAGCATTTTCTCATAAACATGTACAGAACAAGAATGCTTAATTTCAAAATTTTGTATTTTATCATTTTCACAACTTTAATGTTTATTTTCTCGTAATTTTGTATATTACAGAAATGGAAGAAGCGTTATTTTGTGCTGTGTAAGCCGTCAGGTAGTTTACCAGGACAATATGAATTAAATTATTTTAACGACCAAAAATTTACGCGTAAAAAAGGCACCATAGATCTCGACCAGTGTGAACAGATTATCGAATCTCTCGATTCAGACCAGTTTCCCTTCCTCTTCGCCATTAAGACAATCTGTAAAGGGAGAGAACGAACGTATTTTTTGGCTACAGATACAGAAGACGACATGGCCAAGTGGGTCAGTAATCTCTGCAGTGTCTGTGGACTAAAACAGGAAGAAAGCCGTAAGTTATTTTGTTGTTTTAATTGAATTTTTATGATAATCACATCTTGAAATAAATGTCATAGATATTGTCCGCAGTTTACAAGTTTGGAAATGAGGCACTTGTCGCTTTCACAGACATTGTCACCGGTTTACAAGCCTGTAAAAAATGTTGACCGTGTTATGAATCGTGATACGTATCGTATAGTAACACCCGAATCAGAATATGTATCGTATTGTGACTGCTACAGTATCTCAATAGACAAGAAGTAGGGTCGCCTGTCCAACCTAGTGGGTTTTTCTCTGGGTCCTCTGGTTTTCTCCCACTGCTAAAGACCCCTACAAGCAAGCGAATTATTGATAAAATTAAACCATATGTTAGTCCCAAAATGACTTAGTTTGTGTCGAGTGGACGTTAAACCCCATTTCTCTTTCTTGCTCGCTATTGCAATACTTAGCACTATACAGAAATTGTCAATAGGCCTAGATTAATAATTTTCACTGTACCTGACAAACTGCCAAGAAATATTGAATTTGTATCTGATATTTTAAAATTGGAGCCGACCAGACGTAAGCTCGTGTTTTATAATCTATACTATTATTTGTGATGTTTGTTTGTCTGTCTGTCTGTTCAGGGGAGGCGGCAACACTGGGGCTGTCTCGAGGCTGAAATTTGGTGTATATGGGGTAGCTTGGATGGGGACTACTACGTCCAGGTTCCGAGGTATGCTACTTCCGGAGTTATGCTACGCTGGGTAAACCACTAGTTTTACGATTAAAACCCAGGACTGGAAATAATGATTTTGGAATTACTTGAACTTTGTGTCTGACATGTATTGAAAATATCAATAAAAAGACACATTTGTCCGGGGCAAAATGATAGATGCCAGAGAGATGGTGCCTGACAGCACTTGAATTTGTGCCTGTCATTGTCTGTGACGGGTGCTTTATAGGCACAATCTGCAAGTGTCTATCTTTTTTTCCTGAACGAAAATTTGTTTTTATCTGTGTCTTATTTTAATACTTACTAGCGGATGACCCAGCTCTGCACGGGTTGAAAGTAGTATATAACTCCAAAACCGGAGGCCAACACCACCAGGCCTATGCTACCTCTATACACCAAATTTCAGCCTCGGGACAGCCCGACTGTAGCTGTCTGACAAATTTTCAAAATGGCAGGTACTGACTGATTTTGTTGGGTAAAACTAAAATCATTATTTCTGTAGGAATGCCAGTAGTAGGTTTTCAAATTATTTGTATGTTCATATTTTCTCTAATCTACAATGTGTAATACTACCCTGCCAAATTTAACACCATGAGGTCATGTCATGGCATACATGTAGCTAACACTGCCTAATTTAATACCATGGCATCATGTCATGTCATAGTTAACCCTGCTAAATTATCATGGCATCATGTCATGTCATAGATAACCCTGCCAAATTTCCATAGTGTCATATCAGGTCATAGTTAACCAGTCGTTGTTGTTTGTATATTAGAGGAGAGCTGAGAATAGCTCCCCTTGATCATTTACAAATTGAAAAAAAAATACTTTCCTAAAATAGCTCTCCCTGTTTCGATAACAAGAGTGATTTAGAAATTAAGGAGAGTGATCTGATATAAAGGAGAGTGATTAGTTGTGTGTATGGAAAATATTTCTGAAGATCAATAACCGCATGTAAGGGGTTCATTCCTGGTTTCATAAATGATAATAAACCATCCATGACTTTGTAAAGGAGAGCAATATTCAGGTGCACAGCAGGCTCTCAAGATCAATTGCTCGCCTTAGAAAAACAATGACCACATGTATTACATGTAAATATTAACTTCCCCAATTCCTTAAAGAACATTAGAGAAAAGTGACACATGTATATTAATACCAGTACATCCCTGGACATTCCGACACAATCAGAAACTGGTGTTCCTTAGACTGTGTGAACATGCCCCAGATATGTGAATAGCCTTCCATGTTGTAAAACCATTTACTAGTTTATACAGTGATAGGGTAGTCTGGTGCGGTCTAAGGGGCTGCTAGTTAGGGTGGTTTGGGGCTGTAGAACACAACTTGGGATAAGTGTAGTTCTGCAGTTTGCAACTGAATGAGTTGTATGTCCACCTCACTTGGGTATGGACACGTTCAACTTATTGACGTGGGACATCTAAATAAACATGAGATATTGACACAAGTGTTTATCATGTGACTAAAATACTCACTCCGATATTAACTTGTACACAATACCTCTTGTTAAGAGTCGCACTAGACGCCCCCCAGTTTTTCTTTGACGTGGTGTAAACAGCAAGATTGCATGTCTTGGATTCTGGTGCGATTGGTCCTGTCTTTACTGATAGATTATCGCGTATTGACGTCTGTTGACAAAACAAATTGAAACATGGCCATTGATAAAGATGGACATCATTTTTGTTTTAATAACTTGTTGGGAAAGATGTATGTTATAAAGACAAAGCACCATAATTTAATCCAAATATCAAGGTAGGAATGTTGCTGCCAGGGCATAATTCTACTTTGTGAGGCTATTAAAAAAATGGCAATAAGTAACTCAATTCCATTTTCACCCAATTGGATTATATGAATTACTTGGTATCAGGGTTTGTATAAAAATTTTACAATCCAAATGTCAATGTAGAAATGCTGCTGTTAGGGCTAAATTCCACTGGGTAATGCATGTCGCAAAATGACAATTAACTCAGTTCCATTTTCATCCAATTTGATTATAAGAATTACTTAGTATCAAATATGAATTACTTACTATCAGATTTTGTATAATAATTGCATCATAATTTTTCAGCTGAAGACCTCCCTGAAACGAAAACAGAAATCCCAAAAGAAAAGGATAAGACCCCTGTGGTAGCCGTAAACGATCAAACCTTGCCGAAAACCATGACAAAAGTTCCAGTCGTCACACAGCCATCAAGCAAACTCTCGTCGCAGTTATCAACATCGGAATCATACATACCTTTACAAGAATGTCGGACGGGGAATCAAAGACAGTCACCTATTGACAGACGGGAGAGTGTGGATAGTGTTCCGGACGAGTTAGCTCCCTTGCCACCGCGAACGGGACAACCAAATTATCGTGATAGTAATGACGTGTTTGATTCTGGATTATATAGTGTTCCACCAATCAAAACCCCACATATATCATTCGATGAATTTTATTCAGTACCACCGCCATTACATGCTTATAGAAACTTAGATATGGATTGTCAGGACGATTTAACTTACGATGTGCCGCCCAGACGCGGAAGTCCAAGCACCCCGCGATCTAGTTGTAGTGGCGGTGCCGATTCAACGCTATCTGGAGGTAGACCAGTCACACCACAAGACTTACCAACATACGATACTCCTCCAACACGGCCAACGCCATACCCTCGTCAATCATCACCACAAGTACCCCCGAATCGTCCCCCACGCCCTAATACTTCAACCCTTCAACAAAACAACTATCAAAATCTCCCCACAAATAGTCACGCGTTCTCGAATAATGATTTAAGCGCAATAATACCATCACCCCCTAGAGGAATCGATCGTCCATTGGTATTGGATAATTACGATATTCCGAAACACCACATAGAGGACAAGCGTGAAAGTAATATAAACATTGTGCCCGCTCCACCCAAACCATGTACGAGAACAGCAAGTAATAAACATGCATACATCAACGCAGCTACAGGATATGTGCAAAATGATGACGATATGTACTTATCAATGGATAAACCTGATACTGGCGGCAATAAACACGATTCTACATATACAGACATGATGACAGTAGTGTCGCCACCTATTCCCGCTCCTAGACCACCAGAAACCTTAGTAAATAACGTAAATGATTTGTATGTGTCGCCCCCTACAGCAAGATCCCTACCGAGGCCAACAGTTTTATCCCGGAATCAAAACGCTGTGGGAGGTATGATATCAATTCATAATCTTATAATTAAACCTGGTTTTGCTGAATTATCATGATTTTATTTTAAATCAAAGTAAAATCACACTGTCCTGGTTAAATATCACTCATAGCACCACTGCATGGCGTATACCTGACTTGTTTTTCTGAATATTACATAGAGTAACATCGTGGATTATGGCCCCTTATTGTAAGAAAATCACTCTTTTAGCTTGTTCCCTGTCCATCTTGTGCAAAATATTGGTGTATCTTGCATGACAACCACTCTTTCAATTAAAGTATTAGCTGGAAATCGTGTTTTAATCAAAATCATTTGATGCTCTAGAGAGTTAATTATGGGCTTGGCATGTAAATAAATGTCTAATTAATGCTTAATATAACATTTGAAGCCAAATGAAATCCCTGCATTAGGCAGATTTAGCTCTTATATAATACATCTTTAACTATTAACAAAACAACACAAGGTATACATGTATGGATATGTCTTCTTCTCTATTTAGGAGATAAACACCTCCTGTTTCGCATTTAGAGGGGTGTTATTGTCCAATAGACATGTTCTGAGATCATTAGGACCCAAGACGCGTTAACGTCACGGGTTCTAATGTAAAATCTCAGGACATGTCTATTGGACAATAACACCCCTCTAAATGCGAAACAGGAGGTGTTTATCGACATTGTAACATGCTGTTTTTTAGAATTTTAAAAGAACTTATTTTATTGTGTAAACTTCAAAATTCGTCCCACTGCAAATCGGTTTTAGTGACGTAAAAACCAAAAAAATCAATTTTGACGTAATGAAAACGTCGTGACGTAGCGGGGTAACTGGCTTCTATGTTAGATTTGACTCGCTTATCGTCTGGTTGCTATAGTAGCCGTATGAGTATCGACACACAAAAAAACCCTAAAATTCTCACTTCATTTTTTTAAAAGTACTTTTTGAAACAAAATTTATGTTTTTGTAATAAATTTTTGAATATTTTGTTGTTTGTAGCTGTTACTCGACAAGGGGGGTGGCGTTTCAAGTTCATGTTCGGACATATCTCCAAATATTTCATCTAATGTACCAAGATCAAAATTGAGTGTCTCCATTGTGGTTATCGCCGTTAAAGTAGTACGCATAATATTAATACGCAGTGATTTTTCTAATTTAGAGGGCTGTTATTGTCCAGTAGACAGTGTCTAATCGACCAATCAAAACGCAAGATTCGCCCTTAAGCATGTTACAATACTTGATAACAAAGTTTCATAACACATAAAAGTCATTTTTCAAGAATGACCATTAGTTTGTCTCAAGATGATCTAAGGTATTGTGTTGACGAGAGGTTAGATTTCATTCCATTCTATATAAAATCTCATTACACATCTTTAGAAGAGACATGATCTGTAGAATTAGACATGAATTGTAAAATTAGACATTAGATATAAAAGTAAAACACGATTAAAAATTATCTGTGAAAGTAAGACAGAATTTTAATTAGGAATGATCTGTGAAATTACATATATTATGGTATCTTGTAAGATTCATTAGTGTAACAAGATTTCCTTGGTTTCTCTGTAATTTAAACTTAATATTGGGTCATGCTGTGTGACCTAATATTTAAATGAGAGTGTTATTTGGTGTTTGTATTAAAACAATGAATTATTTATGAATGGAGTGAGTTATATTATTAATAGATTATTATAAAATCAGTTGTACATTAAATCAAAGGTCAACAATATACATACATTTATTAACCACATGTACTCCTCTATCTCCATTCCATTTTGTGATATATAGCCGCCAATTTTTCAATTACATTTTATAGCCATATATTTTGTTCCGTCAAGCAAAAAAAAAGAAGATATATTGTCAGGGTTGATATCTACAGGGTCGACAAGGAAAGAATGCCTAGTAATACGGATGGAGCAAAAATTTGAGGTTCACACATGAATACATTACATGTAGTGTGCATGTAAAAGAACTCTCGATCCTTAAAAAAGAGTAGGAAATGCCACTCTCCTCTTCGCATAGTAAACAGTACAATATTAGAAATAAAATTTCCCATTTGTTAGTCTCAAAATGATTGAGGTATTGTGTGGAGTAGAACTAAACCCCATTCATTTCCATTCCACTGATTGATTATAAATGTATTGGGATTTGTGCTGATCCAACAGTAACCATGGTGATGTAAATGTAGTAGAAATATAAACAGAGATCACTCTCAATAAGTCTTAGAGGGGGTTGGCTGGTCCAGTTTCCTCCTACTGCTTAAAAACCTCTACATGGATTCTTGAAATAAAATTGTGCCATGTTAGTCCCGAAATGACTGTTGTTGTTATGTATGTTACAGATATGTCTGAAAATGTTGCACTCGTAAGGCATGTTTATAACCCCCTCATTTTATAAATTCTTTTAATTTTTCAGATGATGTACATTCAATATGGAGTACTACGAGAACGAAAAGTTTTAAAAAGCATCAAAATGGCACGTTACCGTCTGCTTCATCATCTAGTTCCTCATCAGTTATTAACAGGTAAATTATCTTTTATTATCCCACACCTAACTGTGTAAAGTTATAACAAAATCCTTCCTCACAACCGACACTACCCCCAATATTTTTCCTCAATATTTATTGGCGCAAATGGAATAATATATACCCCTAGTGAAGCTGGTATGTGACAAGGAGTAAGGTCGCTGGCCCAAAACCTGTGGGTTTTCTTCAGGTCCTCTGGTTTCCTCCCACTGCTAAAAACCTATACACACGATTGTGTAGCATTGTCGGTCTAACCCACTCAATGTCTGAGCTATTATAGGCTTGTCATATCAACAGAGGGTCTAAATACTAATACATATATATCATTTAAAGCCAGAAAAAAGACCCATAATACGTAGGCAGATTGAGCTCTTACATAATGCATGTTTACCTACATGGTCGTCGACCATTCACATCCTGTTTTAATACATTGTTTAATGTTTATTCTGGTTGAGATTAATATACCACTCCTGCATGTATATAAAACATGACAGGATTTCAACAAAAACCAGGATTATTTTTTTTAATCGGTTGAATTCATTATCGTTTCACATCATGATTAAAACACAGATCATATTTCTATTTGTTTTTTAGAGTCAAAAATTTCATTTTAATACACAAGGATCTGGTTGATGTGAGCGATTAGCCAATCAAATGGTCTGTTGAGTCGAATTCTTATCATCTAGCACAGCGATAGAAAAGAAATCAAAGCAAAAGCTGTATTACTTGAAACACCCAAAGCTGATTGGTTAATCGAATGACTTGCGTCATAAGATCAAAAGCTGCCTGTATGAGATCTGAAGTGACCTCTCAATACAATCGGTCAGATCTTCATGTGGTGAAGGCCTTCGAAAATATAATAAAAAAGAAATATAGTATTTTAATCTGGTTGGATATTAATGGCTAACAATTTAGTTATTGTATATTGTCATGTTGACACTATTGTTCCTACCATGTTCACTGGGTAATCATAAAATTAGGCCTTGCACGTGTGTCAAAAACCCTACATGCAGGTGAATTATTGACATTAAACCCCATTTCTCTCTTTTCCTGGAAATTAAAATTAATGTAGGAGGCTTCCTCCTGCCATAAGCAGAGAGCCTTTTCCTGATATTGACATCTTCAGATCCTCAACTCAGAAGACTTCCCCCTGCCATAAGCAGACAGATTTGTATCAGTTAGTCTCCCACCATTGACTTATCTTTACAAAATATAACTTCCATGTACATATATTTTCTATTTTAGTCGACCCAGTATTCCTTCAAAGAGCCCTGCGGTAGTTTTGCCTCACAGGGATGGTAACATTAGTTCTGATGATGAAGGATTAAATGTAAGTTCTTATTATAAAAGCATTCAAATAGGATGAAAAACCTAGGTCCTGTGTACACAGTGGCCTGCATGTAAAAGATCCCTTGGCGGTTGGAATTTGGTATAAGAGGCCGTACTGCCACTGTCCGTGCAAAATTTCCCACATAGCACACTGTATGACACTGAGTTCAAAGCAATCTGAAAAACACAGATCCTATTTCGTTTTGTTTTTAATAGTTCAAAATTTCATTTTACTTGTCTTCACAACACTAGCATCTGGAAGAGTTGTAACATAACCCGCTTTCGGTTGAAGTGAGGGATTAGCCAATGAAATGATCTGTTACAGGGACTTCATGGTGTGCAATGTACAGAATTGTGGGTAAACCACTAGAAATATCAACGCCGATTGATTAATCAATGTCTGACGTCATCGAGTCAAAAGGTGCTCGTACGATCCCTGCTGAGACCTTCCACTACAACTGGTCAGATCTTGTGTAGTGTAGGCCATAGAAAGTATAAAAAAAAAAACAAAGCGAAATATAGATCTGTATTTTAATCAGATTGTTGAGAAAGTTACTCTGATTATCTGTCGTGGTTTCCTCTTGTCAATGGTGCTGGGGGGGTTGGATGGCTGAATGGTTAGCGTGCGCGCGCTGTATCATAAAGTCTGTCATTGAGTCGACTGGCGTGGTTTCGAATCCCTGGTTGTATGTGGCAAGGAGTAGGGTCGCCTGTCCAACCTCGTGGGTTTTCTCCGGGTCCTCCGGTTTCCTCCCACTGCTAAAGACCCCTACGCGCAAGCGAATTATGTAAATAAAATTAAACCATATGTTAGTCCCGAAATGACCTAGTTTGTGTCGAGTGGACGTTAAACCCCATTTCTCTCTCTCGCTCTCAATGGTGCTGGACAAAGAGCCTAGCACGTAAAAGAACCCTTGACAGTTGAAATTAAAAATAAATGCCGTCGAGTCGCAAAATTTCCCTCATAACACACTGTATGAAGTATGTCAGTCTTTATTAGCCCAGTTGGTGCAGAAAAGTAGGACATTTAACCCCATTTAATTTCCTATTCTGACTGTCATGTACTTTAGCCTCAATATGAGGGTATTTTGTGTTGAACAGGCATCATCTTCATTCATGTCAGTTTTATTCTGTGTATTTTTTTTATTATAAATATTTTTTGAATGTATTTGTCAGCCAATGCAGAGAATTCGTGGGGTCCAGAGTATTCCACCACCACCCGCTGAAGAGAAAGAGTTGAAATATCTTGATTTAGCGCTGGAAGAAACGAACGATAGAGAGTCCGTTCATATGAGAAGTTTGCCAATGAAAAATATCAACGCTAATTCCACTCCTACAGAATATCGAGAAATAGATTTCGTGAAAACGGAAGCGTTGAGTAATACGAAGAGATGGGGAGATGACCAGCGTCAACATGAAAAGCATAATTAGATAATCGCTGTATATATATAACGGTCACCAGATTCAATTTTATCATTAATAAATGTTGAATAGAATTAACTTTTGATATTACATAATGTGGTAACTGATGTTAAAGAAACATAGAACGCATGACATTTCCAGTTTAATTAAAATTGGATCGTACTTTCATATGGTTTTCACTAAGATGTAAATTTACACTAAGGTTTAACAATATGTTTTAGAAGTTTGTGTTCAACTGATCTGGCTTGACCACTTATTTAAAAAGACGGAGTTAGATTTGATGTTGAGTACACCGACAATATATCTAATCAGTTAGACCCTTTTTCCATGTGCGTATTTTAGCTGGTGAAAATGTCGGGCTAATGCAAATGTAATGGGATCGTTTCCATATAACCAATGAAAACAGTGAGGAAATACTGAAAACGCCCACAGGGAAAACTGGCTTTGTATGGAGAATTCACCTGAGAATTTACCTACAGTTGGTGTAAGGGAAATAACTCTATTATAGAACAAATATTTGCCACATTTCAAAAATTATTGCAAAATACTAATTGTTAAATAACAAATTAATTCAGCATGAAATTATTTGTCATTTACCTTTGAAAGAGACGATGGTCTAAAAACTGTAATTGTGTCTGTGTCGAGTTAACAATAATTATCCAGCAGCCTTTCATTGGGAGAGAGATGAAATTTCTACAAAAATAGCAACTCTCAACTAATGAAAAGGCAGTATCCTTAAAATATTTTCATATTCTCTAAAAAGACATCAGACATCTAAATTAGATGGTTATACCCGATTTCATTTCAAAATTAAATTCAATAAGCCTATAGTAGGCTACACATCAGAAAAATGTACCTCATTATTTTTCATTTCAAAATTATAAACAATAAGTTTCCTATTACCTATGGTACACATCAATAAAAAAAACATACCTTATTTTATTTCAAAATTAAATTCAATAGGCTTATAGTACATATCTGAAAAATGTACCCAATTTTATTTCAATAAGTTTTCTAAAACCTATATTACACATCATAAAAAACGTACTCATTAGCTTTGTGTGATTCTGTATTTATAACATAAATTGGTCAGATTTTCGCAGCTTAAATTCTTAGAAAATGGATATTTATTTATAAAGCTGTGTATATATTAACCTCATATATTATGGTATATATATTTTATTCAATTGTTATTGTTGTTTATTATTTGTTGATGTTTTTAGTTTTACTTAGAGTTATAATAGTTAACAAGGGTGGACTAGGCGCTGGCCGTCGGACATGGTCCAAGGGTCCCGAAGGGAAAAGGTTAATTGAGCTAGTTTCATTTTCTCAGCATTTCAAGTTGTCCTAGCCCCAATGGGTGCTTAAGGAAACAAGTTGGTCTGGGTCCCCAAGGCTACCCAGTCTGCCCCTGATAGTTTATACATGTATAACCTTGTTAAAGATGCATTATGTAATATATAGATAAAGAGCTCTTACATAATGCATTTTTAATACATGTATAAAGACTATAAGTTATAATAGTTAATACATGAACTAAGACTATATTTATAATAGATAATACATGTCCAAAGACTATGAGTTATAATAGTTAATGCATGTATAAAGACTACAAGTTATAACGGTTAATACAAAGACTATGAGTTATAGTTATAATACATGTACAAAGACTATGAGTTAATACATAATACATGTATAAAGACTACAAGTTATAACAGTTAATACATGTACAAAGACTATAGTTAATACATGTACAAAGAGTTTTATTATTTTTATCAAAATGTCAGATAAACAATATTGTTGATATAAGTCTAGAATTAATAAATATAGTCCAATGTACAATAATAAAAATATAGTCTTCGGAAGATTTCTGCTGACAAATGGCCATTATTATATGATAGAATAAAATGTAATTTTATTTTATAAAGTTTAAAGCTGAACCATGTCTCCAGTGGCTGATTTTGAAGAATTACAAAGTTTTTTTTAACAACACAATAAAATATCAGTTACTTCCCTTTTACACAAATAACTAAAGCGGGCCATATCTGTGTTGGCGACCATTTGCATTGCATCACATTGAGAGTGTAAAACATGTTTTACTGACGTTACCCAGAGATTTTTCAGTCATACTCGTGGTTGCTGTCAGTAACCATAAATGCTCAGGTAGATCAGTCAGTTTTGGCAAGTCGTGCACCTAGATGCTAGTTGTGTTAAGTCATACATATGATCTGCGGCCCGCTTTAGACACAGATTACTCTAAGCAATATTACTATAATAACAACATAGCCAAAGTAACCAGATTTTTTTTTTTTATTATTATTATTATTTAAGTTTTACAATGATTTATGTATTATTATTATTTTTTTTTATAAATTTACTGAGAATATACTTAATATGTACGTTAAACCCAGGTTAACAAGATAAAAGGTCTAGGCCCTGGTTAACAAGATAAAGGTCTAGGCCATGGTTAACATGATAAAGGTCTAGGCCCCAGTTAACAAGATAAAAGGTCTAGGCCTCGGTTAACAAGATGAAAGCCGTAGGCCCAGGTCAACAAACTAAAGATTTTTTTTTATTATTGTTTATTTCTGAAACATACTTAAATGATTTTTATACATAACTTACAATACCTGTACATTTTGTAACATTATACTTATTAGTTTTAATCAAAAAAATACATCAGTGGTCAACAATCATGAAGATTTTGTTTATGTATTGTTTAGGTAATTATGGACAATAAACTTACAATATCCATACTGTTCATTTGATATTTATAATTTGTTATGGTAATTATGGACAATAAATCTCCCAATAAAGCGATGCTATTAATTTGATAGAATTTGCTGTGTTGTTGAAGAGTTCTTTAGATCAGAGGAGTCTAGTTGACCAGTCAGTTTTGACATGTCCTGCACAGTCACTGAAGACGGTAGTAGATGCAACCGTAGGAGATGCAACTGATTTAAACCCTGGTGTATTTGGCCAAAATGAAAAGGATTTCTAAGAGTTGAACTTGAGAATCAAAATATTTAATGCCATGTGGGTGGGTGGGGGCTTCCAGAGCTGAGAATCAAAATAATTACTGCACTTGGGAAGAGGGTGTGTGTCCAGAGCTGATATCTAGTACAGTGTTTGCCTTCATGATCTCTCTATTGAGAAACATTTAATAATGTATGTCAAATGGGGCTGCCGTATGTTAGGGAAGTGGTCGAGGCGAGGTGGCGACACTACTAAAGAACCACTGTCCCCATTTTGTGAAAGTCCACTGTGTGGCTCATCATCTGGCCCTATGCATCGTGGATGTTGCCAAGAAATCCACAAAATTTCTAGATAGGAGAGTATGTTGAATACCCTTACCACCTTCTTTAGCTGTTCTCCAAATAAAGCAGTTGTCCCAATTGCGAGTATGGCAAGATATCCTGGGCCAACTTATGGTCAAGCTCTGAAATACACGGAGTAAGATTGCTGTCCATGACCTAGGCTATTGACAACATAGTAAAGACCCTGTCCGACTGCCCTCCGGAAAATGTTAGAAGACCAGACCGAGATAGATATAATGGCCAGCTAAGTATGAGCACCTTATGTTCTTGACAGCCTTTCTGAAATATTTGTTTACTAGTATTGGTATACTAAGCCCAGTACTTCTACGACGTAGCATCTGAGCAAATGGCTATCATCATGAAGTCATTCATATTAACACTTATGTCGAACAATTTTATTGTAGGCCGGTTGGGAAGGTTCGGGTGTTTCCGGAGTCCAAAATGGCCGCTTTATACTGGCACTCACTGCGCATCGAGAAGGATAGGCTCTTGAGGATTTCAAGCCCAATGTTCTAAAAAGCCCAATGTTCTCGTGTTATTGTTGTTATTTTTTATTGGGAATAAATTATCATATGGAACTGACCTGAAAGTACCGTAGATTACGAATTTAAATATTTTGTTGAACGTGATTTTTAATTGTGGTTTCATCCCTTCTGCTTTTAATAACAATGTGTTATGCCCCTTTATTTTCGGTAAGAAAGTCCGACACGAAAAAATTGAAATGGCACCCCTGGTTTTTATACATTTATAATACATTAAAGATACAAACTGGCTGATTTCATGATATATTTCGACTAAAAACATATTCATTCTAATTAATCTATCAAAATTTGCTTCAAATCACCGTCTCAAAACATTGCATTCGCGAGGAAATACCCCCATGATATTTAACATCTATTTTTAGAAGCCACGTTTGTCATGTAAAGGAGGGAGAGCCCATTACTAAGTAAATTCTTGGATTATCTTCGGCCAACCGCTTATTCTGCCGTTTAAACCCCTCAAAGTTCCCAAAACCACCTAACCATTCAATCAAGAAATAACAAGCTGATAGACAATAAGCCGTCAGGTTGCCAGTTAGTGATACCCAGACATTTTTAACGAGTGATTGCCTCATGGGAGTTTTTCAGGGAATCCGTTATTTTTCTAGTAAGACTGGTGGTTCTACTTCCCCTTTATACCAAATTTGCCATACTTTTATTGGAAATAACCTCCCAATAAACACTCTAGCGAGAATTTATCTTTAATATGTGCGTTGCGTCCCACGTTCGCCCATTTTAGCTTCCAAACAATAGAAATGAAATGAAATGGGGTTTAACTTCCTACTGTTCTGTTCTTATATTGAATTCCAACTGCCAAGGGATCTTTTACATGCACGCCAATGTGTACACGGGACCTCGGTTTTTCGTCCCACCCGAACGACTAGACAGCTGTCCTTGTCAGGCCCTCCATCCTGCATCACTGACAAGGGGAAACCACGCCGGAAAATCTGAATGAACTTTCTCGGCCAATGCAGGGATCGAACACCCGACCTCCAGGCTAGCGAGCCAGCGTCTTACCCACTGAACCCCCTTCAAACAATAGAGATTTAACTCGTTTAAAGACATTTCTATTATTAAAAAACATATGTTAAATTTATGTGTTTAGTAACTCAATTTCAGAAGACTTTATTGAACTGATGTAAATTTCTCAGCTGAAAGTGCCTTTTCTGACAACTTTATTATTAATTTGATTAGTAGGGTTAGTAATATCCCATATTTATATCAACTAACAAAATTACAAGAAGTTTCCAAGTGTCGTAGCATTAAAGTCTGAAGAGGAAACATAAGATAAAGCCAATGGGGTGAGTTTAAAGCCTAACATTGGATGTGCTTTCAGAAACCTAAACGTTATTTTCGACCCAATTCTTGAGTTGAATTCAAGAACAGAAATAATTATTGCACGGTTTTTGTCAATTTCTTTTTTAAAAATTCCCTTAAGTAAAGAATTACATTGCGCAATGTTTCTGTTATCGGTGGGTTCATTTTGCCAAAACACCAAATGCCTTCAATCGCAATCAAAATGACGTATATTTGACAATTGGCCAAAATGAACCCAAATGGTGCTGTTCCAGTGGTCTCTAGACAAGTCGGGTCAATTTATAGACCAAAAAAGACAAGTCGGACCAAGACAAAAGACCAGTCGGATACAGTGAACGTATCCTCACTGTCTGGTGAATTTGAACCAGTGATAAGCTGTGCTGCAGAGGATAAGAGTGTGGGCGCGGAGCGTTGCCTTTGCTGGAGTTGCCCCAGAAATCGACTACAGCCGATGGTAGGGAACTAGTGTACACTTACCGCTACTGCCTGTGCAATGACGATCTTGGTGAATTTGAACAAATGATAGGCAGCGCTGCATAGGATAGGTGTTTGGGAGCAGAGTGGTACCACTACAACTGCCTTAAGATCTCATCAAAGAGGTTCCATCGGAAAATTGGTTTTGTAGTGAGGATTGCACGACTGTCACCAACAGAAAAAAAGAAGGGAAAATGTAATGTGCCCCTCTACATTTACATCATTGCAAGGAGATCTTTTAGTCAGGAGTGGATGAAACATATGCTATGTCGTAGAGACACTGCATCAGAAGGGGATGGAGAGGCGGCGATGTCATATTGGAAGGTGGACTTTTTACGCCAAAACCAACCGATCGCACATAGATTGATAATTATTATGTTCAACAAGCGGTATGTGTTGTGAGTGTGAAAAAATGCAGCAATGTTCAATGGACTGTATGAATCAAATATCCAACAGATCATATAAAGATCTCCTAGATCGAGCAAAGATCGATACATGACCGGATTAACCCGGTGAGGGCTCGTAACATTCAGCATTACGGATGCAACCCTACTCAGTATGAATAAAAACTACTAGGGACGGCTTTGTATGAAATGCTTATATCCTCAAGGAGAGCAGCCTGAACGTTTTAAGTAACTAAAATTCTGTTGGCAAGTCCCGATAGTCCGATTGAAGGGAGGAAACGTGATGTGGGCACATCGGGTTAACTCTGAACCCTCCAGACAAAGCCTACATTCACCGTATTTTACAGACTGACATTAAAATTTGTTGGGGCGGGCAACAGGTGAAATTGTCGACCCGGTACTGGGCACACTGATCAGCAGTGAATTTTCGCTAGGCCGCCACAATCACTGATAAGGATGACATCGATGCGACTTAATGAGCCAGAAATATTAACTTTTTTCCTGCGACAAATTAAAATTCTAAAACATTTTTTTTTGATGTATTGAAAAAATAAATAAAGCCGTTTGACGTATTTGTAGGTAAAAATTATTTCCTATTTAGTGTAAATGGGTATTAAAATGACTAAAAGGCAGCATACCGCCCGAAGCAGTAACGTCTTATGTAAACAATGCACGCGCCATTCAGCCAATGATTGACCCCGCGTGCTGTGACGGCACGTATTAAGGCAGTCATCTTTGACAGAGATATTACTACTCGTAATTCTCTGTGAAACAGATTGGGTACTGGGTAGATATACCGTTTTAACTCTGGAAAAAAAATATGACAAATTGTTGGTCCACCAGGCGAATTCTTTGTATAGAACATAGCACCTACAGACGACGAACCGTGTCGAAAATGTTTTTGTATTTTTGCATTTTTATATGAAACATTTTAAAATATGTGTATTTTTAAATAAAATATTGGTTTGTAAAGGAATTAAAATCAACCCCGCTGTAAAAAGTGTCTCGTTATCTCGTCATGTGGCGCATATTTGCGCAGAATATTTGGCAGTTATTTTATTTACCATTTTGATTTGTATGTACTAATACAAACTATTTTTTACTTGCAAAAACATTTTATTACCGCGTGAACTTATTTTAATAGCCTACTTTTCTATTACGCAATGTAACGTTTAATATATAATATATATCTTCGTCTTAATGTGAAGAATGAAAAAACTACAGTGAGGACAATAACTTTTTATAGTAAAAAAAGGTATTTTAAAATCCGACCGATAGCCATCTTATATAATATTACGTTACACATTTTAAGAATTATTTGATTTCGCACCCATAAAATGATATTTAATGATTAAAATATTTTACACAGAAAAATTACCTTTCCTTATTTCAAATTCATTCATTGCAAGTTATCGCATATACGTTGCAGTAAATTTACTGGTATATATACTCTTAAAAAAAAGTAGGGGATGTTGAAATGCAAATACCTATGCAGGTTGTGATATGATAAATAGTCATGGACACTTGACATGCTTTGTGAGTATGTTCACAGATGAAGAACTTATCGCCCCAACAGAACCACTGAGCTGCACATGCGACACGCAATAGCGCCATACACGTGGGAAGGGTTCATTGTCAAATTTGACACTTCAAGGAAGGGTTGATGAAAACTGCCGCGTGCTGGTTTATCTGTCCATGTTTGCTTTCCTA